GAAAGAGAAGGAGGAAAGAAAGAAATGAAAGCAATGCCCAAACTTACAGCCACACCAGGATAGCCATCGCCTTTGAGACCTGGAGCACCCACTGGTCCTCGAGGGCCTTGGGCACCCTGGGAAAATCCCAACACCAGGTGATATCATAAGACTAAACTGTGAAACACCAGGCAAAACTTAAGCAGAATACCAGCTCAATATGCCAAAGGTGGATTTGATAAGTGCAAAGAAATGATTGGAAAATGTTTAAAAGGAAGTCCTACCACATACGGTAACTTATCTCTTCCTAAGTCCTATCCATTGTGTCGGTGGGAATCGTGGAATGCATGTAGGGTGTGTATCTGAACCATTACCAAGTGCTCTATAGGAAACACACTTCATAGGGATCAGAAGATGGCTGTTTGCCAATATTTATAAGGGGATAGGACACAGAGTTTGTGGTTATATCTTGAGACCTAGGAAAAACTTATAAATTTGCTTTATAGTGATAACCTTAGGCATCAATAACTTTTAGTGTAACTACTGGCCTCCTACATAGAGGACAGAGAGGGTGGTTATTGCCTTTTGAACAAGTTTTTGAGATGTATAACTTTACAAATGGAAATTAAATAAATTTTTGGCTAAAGTAGAATGGAAAGAAAAAAAAAAAACAAGGAAGACACTTCTAGAAGATTTATTCAATATAAATCTTAAATTTAAAACTTATAATATTCTTTTTATACCACATCCCATTCTGTTACTGTCATAACTGTTGCAATGGCCTTTGTCAATACACATCAATTATTCTTGGTTTTTACATTAGGAAGGAACTCTACTAATACATAGAACTTTGTTTTCCAAGATTGGAAAAAGTAGCAAGACTCTCAATGCTTTTCTTATATGCTGGCAAACACTGAAATCAAACTGCCATTTTTCCAAGCCAAAATGTTGCCCAAAATGCAACTCCCAGAAAGTTTCTAATTCTACTTCTGTGAAAGAATGATTGATTGGAAGGGGGAAAAAATATGCATACCCTTAAAACAACAGGAAAGTTAAATTTGTTTTGAAAACCATGCATGCAACAAGTTTTTTTCTCTATTAAGTCTAAGAGACTGGTTTTATATGATTAACCTCCTAAGAATGATCATCTTCAGAACACATGTGGTCACTTATTAAAACTTAATTTCTTATTTATCATTAACAGAAATCCAAGGCAAGGTTTTCAGGAAAGGTAAGTTTTGGTATATCTCCAACTATAGGAAACTGGCCACTTCTCAGAAGCAATTTATTATGCTATTCCAACTATGTTTAAGGTTAAAGCTTTAAGCATCCATATGGGATATGTCCCAAAATAAGATCTCCATTTCTCTCCACGCTTACACAAGGAGCCAGCCAACAACAAAACAAAGCAATAACTGCTCCCTGGTTAAGTTGAAAGGAAAAGAAAATTGGAATAAAAATTCACTTTCAGTTTTTATTTATAAGTCTCAAGCCTATAACAAATGATCAGCAGCTGTTGTTGTTTAGCCTCTGGCCCTCATTGGGGGGGGGGGCATTAATAGTTCACAAACATGTTTTCCTAGAGAACTTTGTCTCTCCTGCAAAAATTGTAGTTAGCGTGTTACTTCTAACGTTAATAGGAATATCAGGAGATGGGGAGAAGGGGAGAGTTCTGACTCAAATTTTTTTTTTGGACTCCTCACAATACATTTTTAGATGAATTTTGCCACTTGGCCTCTTGGCACTGGATTCAAGAAAATATCGTGCAAAGTGATTCAATTTGAAGTGTCTCTCATTCAACATAAACTAGGGCAGAAATCTTAATCTGATGTTTTAAAATGGGCTTTAGGGGAAATCTGGGAGCTCCCTGAAGTAACACACAAAAACTGAATTAATATGCCAAAACTTCCATGAGGCATTTAACCCCTCAAATGCTTAAAAACCAATGCATTAGGAAGAATGACAGAAAGAGCATCTTTAGAGGTCAAGGGATTCAAAAATGCTTGGGGTAAAGAGGAAAATAACTTTAAGTACTGTCACCAACAACGTCCAATGATGATCAGTAGAAAACTGCATATTTAATTGGATTTTATTTCTATTGTAAGGAATAGTATAATTAGAGAGAAGTAACTATAAATCATAAACTTAGTAATACACAGATCCAGGAAGTTATCAAACACTATGAAAATTGTCACCCAAATATTCTTGATCAAGGTCATATCTAGAGTTTTAGCATTGTGAAATTTGAAATTTTCTCCTTGACTTATACATAACTTAGGTTCCCGTGTGTTTCAAAGTCTGGGGAGTAAGGTGATCATCTTGTTCTGGTTTGTCCAGGATTTTCTCTGTTTCAGCTTGAACCTCCCACATCCCTGGAACCTCCTCTGTCCCCAGTAAACCAAGAGATTGTCATTTTAGCAAGGATGACTGCTAAAGTGATTAAGAACAATGACGGTCAGGATCCTCCCTTGACTTTCAGAAAGAATCCCTACAATTTAATCAGTATATAATGGGTTTTGCATTATATTTCAAAGATGGTTCTAAATTGCTTTTTTTTTTTTTTTAAGTTTGAAAATCACTGATGTTAGTACTTGAACTCTTTTGTCTAGAAGAGACAATGTGATAGAACTGAAGCCAGCTTCAAAGCTACATAACAACATGCTACTAATTTACTAATTGCTGATTATGGAGCCCTGAAGCCCATTCTCATAGTCGGGGATGTGCTTGTTGCCATCTGGAATGCTAAATATTGCTGTAACGCTCGGTGTTGTGTGAGGGGAATGGCACTTTGTCACCATGGAAAAATAGAAATGACTACTTAAAGCTGTCTTCTCCTATCGTTATTTGCATTTTCATTTAAAATAACTCTGAAAGATGGATGACAAAGCAGAGAAATTTGATTCATAAAAGCTTCCAAACATAAACATTTTGGACAATGTTTTGCAGAAGAGATACATCGGCCATTAATGTGAAAATGAAAAAGGCTAGAGGCCATATAATCTCATATCACAGACATTACAAAAAGAGCATTTTCAAACAACTGTTTAGCCAGCAAAAAATTTAACCATAGGAGTCATCATCCCCTACATTTATGAAAAATAAATGATCTGTTGGCTTGGTGTTTTTTTAAGGGAATAGTCTGTTCTTATATTTGGGTTCATCAACAGATACTGGAAGTAGAACCACCTCAGTCATCAACTTATGATGCATTAAATCTACTTTTATTCTCTCACATACAGAAAAAATAAAATAAAAGAACATGAATAAAGCCTACCTTTGGTCCTCGAATAGCAATGCCAGGTTCTCCTTTAAATCCAGGCATCCCAGGTCCTCCTCTATCACCCTGTATATTTCAAATAATGTTCAGAGTTTCAGACTTTAGGTTGCATGAGAAACAATGGCAGGGGGCAAAAAAGTGATTGGTTAGTTTGTAAAGGGCTTAATCTGTTAGGCTCAGATCTTGAGAGAGTATATTCTTCTAATACACTTGAGGGGAATTTCAAATCCTAAGTAAATAAAAGCTGTCAGTTAAGGCTACTAAGCTGGTTAGAGAAAGGCCACTGAAATAAGAGGTGGCTGACTAGACAGAAATATTTAGACTGTAAGAATGCCTGGGAATGCTCTCAGATTGGAGTGGATTTCTTTTCTGTCACACTTTCTGATTATAAATCCTAGAGGATTCTTCTGAATAAATGCAGTCAATTCTTACCTGCATTAAGGTCTAGAATTTGGGAGAGGTAATTCGAACTGAAATGACAAGTTCAAGACCAGGAGCAGAAATCTGGTTTCTAATCTTATATTTGCTGCTGGCCTTTAGTTTGTTTAAGTGTGATATATCAGGATTGAACTAGATAATATCTTGGTTTTCTTCCAAAACTAAAATTCTAGTTGACTGGTATCATGAATTTTGCTCCTTCCAACTATCTAAGAAAAAGAAAAAAATATTCCCAGGAATGCATACCTTAGGCCCAGGTGGTCCAGGAATTGATGCTCCAGGAATCCCAAAAGGACCCATAACACCCGGATCACCCTAAAAGCAGAGCAAAATACTCATTACATTTCATATATATACATATATATATATATATATATGTATATATATATATTTGAATACATATATATATTTTTCCTGTATATATATTTGAAAAAATATATATATATATATACATATACATACAGGAATTATATTAGCAAAAACATAGAAGTATGTTTCCAGCATTTTAAAATATCATGACCTGTCTGTTTCACAGATCAATATGAAAATATTTTTACATCTTTATTAAACCACTACTAAAGTTATTGATGATTAAGATTTCAATGCCATTAATAAATGCACTCAATTAATTTCTAAATATTATTAAAATTTTATCTCTTGTGCATCCTTTTATTAGTTAATAAAAATTATGCAATTCCTGGTGCTTCCTTTTTGTTGTATGCCAGGGAGCTCAGAGGGAAATGTTTGTTCAATTATAACAATTATCTTCAGTGTAAGGTTTTAGGTATACATGGTAGATAAATAATGTTTCTTATAGTTTATTGCTTTTTCCTTTGTTATTTTGTTTTGTGGCCCATGGCATGTCAGTCTTCCATTGTAAACTATCTCATATCCCTTTTAGAAATAGAAAGCATATGGTAAAAAAAAATTTTTTTCAAATAAAAAAATAAAACATTTCTCAATTTTTTTTTGGTGTCTCAATATTGAGTCTCAATAAAGACTCAGTTTGAAATACCAAGTAGTATCTCTGTCCCACCTAGTTCTAGACCGATTATTCTAAAATTTTGGGGAGTAGAAAAATCATCAGAGGCATTTGGTAAAATACAGAGTACAGGGTTTCGGTCTCAGAGATATTAAAAAAAAAATTTATTTTTCAATTCCAGTTGACATTCAATATTATACGAGTTACAGGTGTATAGCATAGTGGTTAGACATTGATATAATTTATAAACTGATCGCCCCAATAAGTCTAGTACCCACCTGGCACCATACATAGTTATTACAGTATTGTTGACTGTATTCTCTATGCTGTTCTTTATATCCCATGGCTATTTTGTAACTACCAATTTGTATTTCTTTATCCCTTCACCATTTTCACCCTGCCCCCCCCCACCTCCCATCTGACAACCATCAGTCTGTTCTCTGCATCTATGAGTCTGTTCCTGTTTTGTTTGTTTATTTATTTTGTTTTTTAGATTCCACACATAAGTGAAATCACATGGTATTTGTCTTTCTCTGTCTGACTTATTTCACTTAGCATATTACCCTCTAGGTGCATCCATGCTGTTGCAAGTGGTAAGATTTCATTCTTTTCTATGGCCGAGTAATATTCCATTGTATATATGTACCACAGCTTTATTTGGTTGTATACTGATGATCAGTCACAGATATTTCAATCCAAGAGATGTAAGGGCTGAGCCCAGGAATATGAATTTTTATGAGGCACCTCTGGTGATTCTGATATAGGTGCTGTTACCTCATTTAAACACACTGTGCAAAGCAATTATCATTAAAAGAGGAAGCACAGACCCTACAAATATTTAAAATTACCCATTTGGCATTATTAGAAGAAAATATTAGGACTGCACCTTATATTTTTATATCATCTTTTAAATTTTCATTTAGATAAACCTTATTACATTAATATGATATTGTATGAATTAAAATTATAATTAAAAAAATAAACCTATATTGGAATGTGGTCAAATTTTATTTTATTACTATTAGAGATTCATACAGTTTGGAAACTACTGATCTAGAACAGATACAGCAAACTGCGACCTGTGGGCCAAATCCCACCTGCCATCTGGTTTTGTGCAGCCATGGGCTAAAAATGACTTTCATGTTTGTAAATGATTGTATGTAAGTGCATACATAATATCCTCAATTTTGCCTCTTGGCCAGTGAAGCCTAAAATATTTACCACCTGTACCTTTACCAAAAAATGTGCCTCCTCCTGCCGTGGCCAGTGTGGCTCAGTTGGTTGGAGCATTGTCCCATATACTCAAAGGTTGGGGTTTAATTTGGGGTCAGGGCACACACCTAGGTTGCAGGTTCGATCCCTGGTGGGGTGTCTACGGAAGGCAACCAATCGATGTTCTCTCTCACGTTGATCTTTCTCTCTCTCTCTCTCTTCCCCTCTCTCTAAAATCAATAAGCATATCCTCCATGAGGATTTTAAAAAAGAAAAGAAACTTGCCTCCTCCTGCCTTAAGGAATGAACTATTCTTAAGATCATGAGCTGCCCCTTTGATCTCCTGCCTCCTTTGGAGATTCGCTGGTAACGACTCCTGCCCTGAGCCATGTTCATCTTCACAGCTGAGGCCCCCTGCTCTGCTGGGTCCCCAGTATGAGGGACAGGCTGAGCACATCGGCCTACTGGGGCCCAGGTCATGCCAGTGCACGTGTGTGCCGATCCTCAATTCTAAAGCTACAAGGCAAAGGCACATGACACACCAGGATCCTGGCAACAGATAACCACCCAATTCAGTCCTATGGCAGAGAAATAAAACATTAACCTGTTAAATATTTCACTAAGGTCAGGGCAAAAATTATGCTTCCAAATTTAATCTACTCTATTTTTTTTTAAAGAGGCCAGTTACAGGACTTTTAAAATACAAAGTTATATACCTAGGAGGTATACAATTTTTTAAAGACTTTGTTTTAAGGTGTGATTATGCTTTCAAATATAGCAATTCTTCATCAAAAAAAGCTTTATTTCAAAATACAGAAAAAAATCACTTTGAATAAGAGTAACTAAGATATAAAGAGTGGTCACTGTCATTAATAGTAATATAACATGTTTCTTATAAGGTGGGATTTTTCATTATGTGCTCCTTGAACTACCTGCAGCAGAAGGCATTTAGTTAAGATCAGACACCTGGTACCCCCTCACCTACTAAATCCAGATCTCTGGGCATGGGGCCAAGAAATATGGATTTCTAACAAGCTCCCTGGGGGGTACTGAGGGACACTGATGTTTAAGAATCACTGGTCTACCGGGGTTGCTTTGTTTTGTACCTGCTCTCATCCGGCCAGCATCATTTTTTCTTAGTTCATTCATAGTCTGGTCCTTGTCTCTTTTTACAATTAGCATCTTCCTAGAGGCCTGAACTCTCTTAGGTTTGCAGTGTCTGTTTCCTGACACATCCAAATGACCTCAATATTGTCTCCTGCTAAGTCAGGACATGTACCTAATTGCTTGCCTCACGATTCCCTTAACTTCTTCCTCAGTTCTCTGTCCCGGCCACTTTTTCAGGACATAAGTCCCTACTTTCCATCACAGTATTGATTTTCTCTCTGAGTAACTGCATGTATTAAACTCTCACTATGTGCCAGGCAGGAACTGTGCTAAGCGTTTTATTAACTGTTTTAGTCTTCCCAACAACCCTTTGAAACAGAGATATTATTACTTTCTTTCTATGATTAAAACAACTGACCCTGGAAGGTTGGGGGGGCAGGTGAGAATCCCACTCCCCTGCCCTCTGGGACCCCGCTAGTCATCCCCACTGCACCACCTCTCAGCCTGGGACTCTATAAGTTGTTCAGCAAAACAAGACGCTAGAGAACTGGTATCTCCTCTGGGCCTAACTTCATCCCAACTTCTGGATATTTGATTGTTAGTAGAGCAGAGTGACATACGGGTTTTCCCTTGGAAGCATAAATATTCCAATGAAGGGTGCATATTTTATGCAGTATCTTTATTCTACTCAATTATGGTCTGGAGCAGTATATTCTCTAAAGCCTTTTTCATTTGGGGGTTTTTGTTTTGTATTTGTTGGCAAGGAAACAGGAAATCAAATTTGCAGCAGAAATCTAATATTCTATTAAAACCAGACACAATTACAATCTCCCCAAAGCAAAAACAAGAGTATAAAAACCTCACCTTTGGCCCTTCGGCCCCTGGAAATCCCCTCTGCCCTTGATTTCCTTTGCTCCCTTTCTTTCCTTCGTCACCCTGATAAAATAATCAGAAGAATACAGTGGTTGCATTAACGAACCTTCCTCAGTCGTATAACAACCTTATCAGGGCCACATTCTCAACTGATCCCGATTTTAAAGTGACATGACCCAGCCCAGCTCAGTTACACAGGTTTGTCGATGTTCTTGCACATATGGGGCACTTCGGAACTGCTCGGTCTACACCATTTATTCCATGTGATTTAATAAAACAATCTAAGGTCAGTATCTTTCTTCGGGGACTTTTGTTTGAATTTACAATTCTTTTGCACCCTTGGTCCATTAACAGGTGGTTCTTTAGCTTTCATGCTATTTCAGTTTTAAAACATAAAATGAGATATTTTTCAAACCCAGTCCCATTTATTCCTCTGGGGGGAGTCTAGTTCTTTCTCCCAAAGGAGACTGATCATTCTATTAGTAGAAAGACATGTGAGCATTAGCCTGGGTCAGAGCTAGAAACTGCCTACTGACTGTTCCCCGGCCTGGCTGTGTATACCATTGCTCCCCCGAAAGAACTGTTTTACCTGCATCCAGAAGCCTCCAAGCATTTCTTCCCCTATAACCTTCCATAAGCCACGGATCACCTCAAAGCCACAAACCCAGCGGCCTCTGTCTTCAATGCGCGTTCTCCTTGCTCCGGTGGTGGCATCTGCCACCCTCTGGAACCCTTTCTCCTTGGTTTCCCTAACGTGGTAACTCTTCTGCTTATCCGTGTCCTGTCTACATATTCTATCTCCAGCTACTGTACAACATGAAATTCAAACCTCAGCTCTGCTTCTCAGAGATATCATTCATTCTTACAGCTTCACTTATTAACTCAAGGGCCAATTTTCCAAAAGTACATTCTAGGATACACTAGTTCTCCCAAATGTTAGTAGGCGAGCATTTCTATAAGTATTTTTGCATGATGTAAAAAAGTATGCTCTGTTCACATTCCCCGCTCCCCTCCCTTCCCAAGGACCTTATAATCTGGTAAGTCAATAAATAAAATTGTTGCCAATTCTACAAATATATTTAAATTTCAAATTCTCACATTTAAGGTTAAGGACTCAAATTTAGCCAATACATTTCAAGACATAGACTTCTTAAGCTATCAGTTACTATTTTAATACAATTATAGAGTACTAATTAGTATACAGAATTTATTTTTACTTTCCTCATTTAGAATTCTTCAGAATCTTTATGTGGGCATTGATGACTGTACATAAAAACTGCAGGAACATCTGGCACCTTGGAGGCTGTGGGTTATGCCACTAATGGTCTTATGGATGAATTTGGATATTCTCATCTTGACATATAAAGATGGTATTCACTAGCATTTTTACAATGTATAAAATAATTTATTCCAAATTGTGAAATTAAAGCTGCCATTTAATAAGGAGATATTTCTTATTACTGTGTGAAATTCCATAAATATTTAAAGAAAGTTTATGGACTTTCAAGTCTCAAGAATGTATCTCAAGGCTTCTTTTCCTTTCCTATGTGTTTTTTAAATGTCCGCCTGGCTATTAAGATAAACATGTGTTGCACTCTTCGTAGAAGCTGGGTCTTATAATAGATGTTAGGAAATAAAAATGAATAATACATACTTGCTTTCTTCCACAGCTCACAAGCTAGTATCCATAACTTTTAGCCAGAAGTAAACACATTTGACATAGCAGGAATAACAACTGAATTTCCTAAGTTGGCTCCTTAGTATCAAGACCAGAACATAGATAGTCTGCTTCCCCCAACACGATCAGTTCCATACCTTAGGGCCAGGCTGTCCTTTTCCAGGTGGTCCTTCTGGGCCTCTTGCTCCTGGAAGCCCTGCTTCTCCCTAGAGGAAATGATACTGATATCTTAGCTGACCCTTCATGGACAGCATATATAAGCCCACCTTATTTCTTATGGCCAGTGGGTTCTCTGCTGAGACCCCCCCC